TATGGTCATATCTTATTGAAACACCAGTTCTTGTACAATCAACAAAGTTAAGCAATGTTGAGCCTGATCAGCAGCTAGATGGGTGATCACTTGGGAATACCAGATGCTGTAAGCTTGAATGGGCAAGTGGGGTAATGGATAATGGCTTGGAATTTGAAATCAGAGAGGCAAGTTCAAATTTCAGTTGGATTCATTATATTCACTTCTGCACAAATATCCTTGAGAAAGGTATGAATTTACCTCTTCTCCCTCCAGCTATGGATTAAGTAGTATGACTTGTATCAGTAAATCATTATTATCAAAAAATAGAAATTCTTATAATCTAAAAATATTTTCTGGCTTTAAATATCCTGCAAAGGGTTGATAAGCCGTTAAAAATAAATCAATCAATCTTTCACACAAATGTCCTTGGGAAATGTGCAGATTATCTCTTCTCTCCTTCAGCTATAGATTAAATATCAGGGTAGACTAGGCTTTCTTGCCTTGAGTGGCAGCCAGTCTAAGTGAAGGATAACAATTCAAAAAACTAGAAATGACGACAGGCAACATCACTATCTTTCCCAAAAAGTCATTGCAATTTTCAGATAATAAAGAGACAAGCTCTGTGGAAAGCCATTATCACCTGCACCTTGAAGGGCGGTGACATTAAAAACAAATCCATGAAGTGTTTTATAAAAGTTATTTGTTTTGGCAACTAGGGTTTTTCATTAACCAATTCAAAATTCAAAATGGATTCAACTTATCCAGTTTAGTAGTTATGAAAATAACAAAAATTCTATTTATTGAAAAATATTGGTGACATTATTCAAAAACAAAATAACAATAAAGATAACATGAAGAAAAAGACTATTTGTTGAAAATTCCATTCACGACAAAAAACTTCTTAAAAAGATTTGAGTGCGATGCAAAAGCATTGCTCCATAGCCATTCAATTGAACTCTCTCTAGCATTTTGCTGTGAACTCAGGTACAACACTATTATCAAGATTCTTTATTTATCAGGAGCCTGGATGGAAGAACAGTTATTTTTATGTTGATTTTGTCTCTGAGAAAAGAGAGGATATAATGAATGTAAAAGTGTAAATCCAGGGTGCAATGGGTAAATTGTCACCATTTCATATTTTTAATTTTGCGCTTGTGCGTTGTTTGTTTTTGATTATAGTAGGGTCAGTTGGGCACAGTCTGTGAGAAAAACTGCACCATGATTCCATTCACTCCACTAGAAATTGGGAAACATCATACTGTACTGCTTAGCATTCTTGCCAGAAGCTACAATATTGACATTTCAGTGTTTCAAAAGGAGTTGGATGAGAATAATAAGAAAAGAACCTCCAAATTTATTGGTGAGGGCCTCAGAATAACACAAATGCCTACGTCAAGTGTCTTGAGGAGATAGTACTGCCCTGGGTCAAGATGGTTGCTGCTGGAAGACCCTATGTCTGGCAACAGGACTCTGCACCATGCCACACAAGCAGGAGAACCCAGTCACGACTGTCAGACAATTTCTGTGGTCACATTACCCCTTACATCTGGCCACCTAACTCCCCAGACTGCAACCCCCTTGATTATTATGTGTTTCCCTACACTGACAGTTCTGATAGGCCCTCTGATTGGAAGATTGAAGGTTTCAAGAAGCATGGAACCACCTCTTAATTACTGTTGTTCCCAGATCTACTCTGACCCTGGGTGGTAGCACCTGTTAGGGTCCCAATAATGGACCAATAGTGAACACACCCAAACAAAAACAAAACACTATGAAAATATAAAAATTCATTTTTTGCAAAAAATACCAGCAATATATTTTTATAATAAAAATACCAACAATACATTTTTATATAAAAATTACAAACAACACATATTTATAATAAATTACTAACAATATATATTAATAGTAAAATAACCAACAATATATATTTATAGTAGAATTACCAATAATACATTTTATAGCTGAATGACCGACAATAAATTTTATTTGTAGTTCAATGCATACAGCTGCGTTCAAAACATATTTAGTTGAAGGCATGAAATTGTGTTCCAAATATTTAGATTTTGGCATTAAATAACCCATAGAGGTGTTGATATGCTGCTAAAACAAAATCAACCAACTGACAACTTCCTTACAAGGAAACTTTTTTTTTTCACTGACTGAGCAGCCAGTGCTATTTTGGGATGAAATTTATAAAATTTTTCTCTTAAAAAAATTTTTCAGGAAAATAATTTTCTCAGTTGCAATAGCTGTTATCACTCTTTCCAGTATTGATAAGGTGTTTCCTTCCTAACCTTTTGTTTGAAGTAGTGTGGTAAATCAACATCTTGAATATGGTATTATTTTCTCTTTGAGTTACATGTGCTTTCTATTTTAGCAGTTACTGCTGTTGAAACTTATCAAGTGATGTGGTTTCTGTTATTTGGTATAGTTCTTTATTTGGGGTTCTGTGACGCCAATCAACAAAGATGGAAGAAATGTAGTCTTCACCAAGATCCAAAGGCTTCACTCATTTAAAGGGTACTTCAAATAAAAGAAAAAAAGCTTTGTTTTGACCTTCATATATATTTTATTACTTAAATATTATTTTTAGTGGATATGCATATTTGAGTAGACTCCATTTATTTATAAAACAGTAGATTTATTTATTTTTGTCTACCAGCCAGAATATATGAAAAATCTTATTAAACAAAAATATGCACTCTCTGGCAGGATTTAGGCTGGTAGATGAAAATAAATAAATCTCCTGTTTAATAAATAAACAGAACATCTACTCAAATATGACTATCTACTAAAAATAATGTTTAAGTAATAAAATCTGTTGGATTAATAAATAAACATCCAGCACATTTTCGAAATTGCTTTCTCACACACACACACACACACACACGCATACATATATGTGTGTGTATATATATATATATTATGAAATGGACAAAGTCCGACAATTATTTTAAGACATTTTTATGCTTATACATTCTTTTTACAGATACAAATATTTAAATAAATGCTCTGTTTATAATAAACAGTATTAATAACATTTACCAGCCTGAATGTCCGAGAAATTTTCATAGAAAATATTCGTCCTCCGACAGGAATCGAACCTGTATCCTATATGGAACCATCATATAGTCTGACGTGCCTTAACCAATTGAGCCGGTTAGCAAGGTCGATTTTACTGCTTTTAAACTACAATCTTCCATGAATTTCTCACCTACCTTCATATCTGCTTAATGCATATCCAAATGTAAACAAATGATGTCAAATATTATGAAATGGACAAAGTCTGACAATTATTTTAAGACATCTATGAAAATTTCTCAGACATTCAAGCTGGTAAATGTTATTAATACCGTTTATTATAAATAGAGCATTTACTTAAATATTTGTATTTATAAAAAGAATGTATAAACATGAAAATGTCTTAAAATATATATGTATATATAAAACTTCAATATAAAGACATATAAGAAAATGTGGTAGTGAATAAATGTTAGAGTGACTTTTTATTGAGTTACACTATCATAGCCTTTCTGGTCTAAAAGGCAATAGAAAATCAGGCAATTTATACTATTATAATTATATAGGTGCAAACTAAAATGTTTTATTCATTCAATTAGCATAAAAGACAAATTGATTCATTATTCTTTCATACATATGAAACCCAAATGTCATGACAATTGATCAGGATATTCACTGGATATTGCAAAGTAAAATTTCTCAAGGAATATAAAAATAAAAAAATTATAAATATAATAAAGCTTCAATAATATTTTTATTATCATTTTGCCTTGTCTTTTTCTTCTTTTGTGGTCTGAGATATAAAAAGAAAAGAAAAAGCAAATCCATATATAATTGTCAGACATTTTTAATTGTGGGACTCAGGCTGAACATTTTTTGTTTGTCTCTATTTCTGAGATGAGCTACTTACATTATTTACATTGTTTGGTTTGTTGTCCTCATCTATATTTTCATATTCACAACATTTTGGCCATTGTACACTCTGGCCTTCTTCAAGATTTGTCTATATTTTTGAGAGGAGGTATTGTAACTATTTACCTATTTAGGAGGTATATATATATATATATATATATATATATATATATATATATATATAAAATGGACCCTTGAATAGTGAACATGAACAATGAAACTGTGTAGATGGGAGAATTATAATAATTCCAATATGGATGAATTAATTTACAGTAACTAAATTTTGCAATTTTAAAATATTATTTATGCTTAATTATATTCTAAATATTGAGCACATTTAAAATTTTAATTTTTATATATATATATATATAAGTGCGTGTGTGTGTGTGTGTGTGTGTGTGTGTGTGTGTGTGTGTGTGTGTGTGAAGCAGAGCTCAAAATATGGACATTTCCTTGTGTTACAACAAAAATGACTGAAAAATGACATATTTAAGAACTTTTCTTCAGAAGAATGTAAAGTGGAGATGAAAGCATTTCGTAGTGTGATGTTGTTGGTATCATGTAAAGTGGAGATGAAAGCATTTGCTAGTGTGATGTTGTTGGTAGCATGTAAAGTGGAGATGAAAGCCTTTGCTAGTGTGATGTTGTTGGTATCATGGAAAGTGGAGATGAAAGCATTTGCTAGTGTGATGTCTTTGGTAGCATGTAAAGTGGAGATGAAAGCATTTCCTAGTGTGATGTTGTTGGTAGCATGTAAAGTGGAGATGAAAGCCTTTGCTAGTGTGATATTGTTGGTAGCTTGTAAAGTGGAGATGAAAGCATTTCCTAGTGTGATGTCTTTGGTAGAACGTAAAGTGGAGATGAAAGCATTTGCTAGTGTGTGGTCATTGGTAGCATGTAAAGTGGAGATGAAAGCATTTCCTAGTGTGATGTTGTTGGTAGCATGTAAAGTGGAGATGAAAGCATTTCCTAGTGTGATGTTGTTGGTATCATGGAAAGTGGAGATGAAAGCATTTGCTAGTGTGATGTCTTTGGTAGCATGTAAAGTGGAGATGAAAGCATTTGCTAGTGTGATGTCGTTGGTAGCCTGAAATGTGGAGATGAAATGGTTTGCTAGTGTAATGTTATTGGTAGCATGTAATATGTAAAGTGGAGATGAAAGCATTTGCTAGTGTGATGTTGTTGGTAGCAACAT